CGCCGCCAGCGGGAATATTCGCCGGCTTCCCACTTCTCTCGAGATTTCCCCAGCACCGCGCTGCAGGAGATGCCCACTCTCTCCCGAACGCCTTTCGATTGCTTTGTGCATTCTTTCATATCACTAAAAAAACAAGGGATCCCACTCTAACCTTTTCTTTCCCCCGCCCCCGCATTTCTCTGCCCCTTTCAAAAATCCTGCTGGAAGATCCCCTTCCTGCATGCAGATGGGCTTCCCGAGGGAAAACACACGCACTAATATAATTCCTGATACAAGCTTATTTCGAACTTTCCCAGCCAACCTAGTCGGGGTGGGACAGAAAAACTCTCACAGACTCCGGTTTGAACTGGGGAGGGGGGCATATATATTGCCAGAGAGCAGCCCTCAGCCCCTGCGCACTCTGCGAGCAGGAGCCCCCCAACGAGAGCATCTTGGGGAGCCTCGCCTGGTGAATGCCATCAGCCATCACACATCCCCCAACAAATCAATAAACAAGCTAAACAACCCCAAAGAGGGACTTCGCTCGCGGAGCCCACCCATGCAAACACCAGCGCAGGATTTCCCGGGAAGGAGGGAATGGGAAACGGAACGGGAATGTTTGTTTTCCCCTGTTGTTGTCGTTGAACGCATGAATGAAAGAATGAATGGATGAATGGAACAGAGGGTGCTCGGAGGCATATAGGAAGCCTCTGGCCGCTTATTTTAACTTCCTATTATACCCTAAAAATAGAACCCGGTTTCCTGTTGTTCCTCAGCTCCTTCTAACTGTTGTGTCTGTTGTGTGACATCTTTCGACTCACAAATGTGACCTTAAACCACGCACACACGCTTTGGTCTTTTGAAAGTACCACCTTCAAACATCATTAAAGCGACGCGGTTTAAGGTGACACGGAGGACTGGTAGCACGAAGTCACCTAGTCCTGGGGCACAGGGAGCCCGGTGCCCCGTGCCACGCTCTCTGCCCATCACCGCGGCAGCGGAGCGGGTGAGCACCGGGGGTGGGGGTGAAGGCCGCTCTGCCCCACGACTCTCAGCCAGCCTGGGGGAGGAGAGGGACTGGCCTTAATCCCACTCGGGGTGCAAACGCCACGCTGCCTTCCGGGAGAGAGAGCGCGACTGGTGGAGCGCATCCCCAGGGAAGATTAACCAGGGTGGTGAGGGAAGAAGCCCGGATAAGGCTGCGCGGTCAAGGTGCGGTGTTGCCTGCGGTCCGGAGTATCCCATCGCCCTTGGCCAGGACTGCAGCCTCCCTCTCTGGGAGCTCGGGTTTGGCCGCAGAAGGAGCAGAGAAGCCGGGCAGCCGGGTCGCAGGGG